CCAAAGCTTTAATCCATTGGTGCCCATGATCAACTCTCCTTTGAGGAGGCAGCTGTTTCCCAGTCATGTTTTGAGTGCCTTCCAACCTGAGAGGCTCATCTTCCAGCACTATATCTGACTATTTTCTGAAGCTATTCATATTGTTTTATCTTCTGGCACTCTATTTGACAATGTTCCATTACTATTCATAAGGCTTTCAATGTCTAAACATTCAGAAGTTTGCTGATTCTTCTTCCTCGTCTGTCTTCATCTGGATGCTCTGCTGAAACCTGACCACCATGTATTGATAGCCTGCTGGTATTTAAAGTACCAGTGGTATAGCTTCCATCATCACAACAAAATTGACCCTCTCTCTCCCTGAGTCTAGAGTCCCAGTTGCTCCATCTCTCCACATCATTGTCTCTGTCTCCATCTCTGGCATCACTGTTTCCCTGGATAGGATCCTACACTTCGCTTTTCTTCCTTAATGGTTCCAGGAACCTCCACTCCTGGACTGTAAAATCAACCACTCCCCTCCTTTTGTTACAAGACATCTATCTTTATCTTTCCTACACTCACAGTCAGTCCTGATAGCAATCAATTCCTATTGAACCTCAAGAGTCTTATCCTCATCACCTTTTATCAGCCCCATAGAGACAGGTTGGAAACCACTAAGTGGAGATTCTACCTTTCCCCGTACCCTCTGGAACTAGGGTCCCTATTGAAAATATGTAAGCCAGTCACTTCTTGCCTTTGTACCTCACTCCATTTTGGGTAGCCAATGTCTAAGTTGCCCATCCTTATTGACCTTGTGTATCAAGGGGGTGGGGATGATCCTCACTGTAAAGATTTGTTCCCTCCTTTGCCCTACTGCATCCACAAGCATAGGTCAAGTTCATGAAATTCTGGTGGATTACTTACTCTTTTATTCCTCTTCTTATTTCCCCGCTTTTACCCATTCAAACCATGCCTCATTCTTTGTATTCCAGAAACTTGTTGTTCCAAGGCTGTGTTTACATCGTTATTTACCTCTGTCCTATTTAGCCCATGCAAACCTGCTTAACTGTTCTCCCATCCGCCTTGTTCTTTCTTTCCCTTCTCCCTTCTAGGCCACACGCATTTCTTGTATATTATTAATTCAAGGCTAAATATTAAAAATACTGAAGGTATTGCCTCTGGGGGAGGTTGAATTGGAATTGGGCATGGAGATAAAAGAAAATGAATAAACAAAACAAGAGAGAAGCTTTGTAGTTTTTGATGAAGCATCATGAAACCACAGATTATGATTAACTCAGCCCTGTGCACATGATGTTAAATAAAAAGGAGCTGATAACACAATACTTGGAAAATCTTCAACTTCCAAATTAGTGAATGTCAGCTCTAAGCTTGCCAGGTACACAACTGCACATTTTTTGTATGGTGCCCGCCTCTGAACTACCACACACCATAGCTTAGTAGTCTACAGATGAACTGTTGTCCTTTCTAGATTTGTGCTGTCTCTTTCATCAATTCCCTTAGCACCTACCCTTATTAGTAACAACAACATATGGTATTCCACCCAAATCAACAAAAAGATAGTTTGCAAGTCATCTGCAAGATGCACATCACAATGTCATATTAGGTGAGTCCCTGGATGGTCCAAAGGGCTAACCACTCAGCTGCTAACATAAAGGTTGAAAAATTTGAGTCCACCTTGAGAAGTCCTGGTATGACACTGTAGAATAAACACTGGACTGCAAGGTTGATTTGAACCACAAGGTCAGTGGTTCAAACTCACCAGCTGCTCCTTGGAAACCTTATACAGGGTTACTATGAGCTGGAATAAAAGCAGCGAAGTCCTGGTGTGGTGCTGTATGATAAGCACTAGACTGCTAATCACAAAGTCAGAAGTTCAAGCCCAACAACCACTTCTTGGAAACTCTATACAGTGTCACTCTGAATTGTAACCAACTGGGTGGCACTTAAGAAAAACAACCGAGGTACCTCAAAATAAAGTCCTGGTGTTCTACTTCCAAATACCAACCCCTGAGAACCATATGGAGCACAGTTCTGCTGTGACACACATGGAGTTGCCATGAGTAAGAATCGACTTTACAGCAACTAAAATTTTGTTTGTTTGTTTGATAGTTTGCCCCATAGGTAAAATTTCCCTTCCTCCTGCCAGAAGAACTTGTTTTTTTTTTTTAATCAAAAAGTGACTGGTGCTTCTCTCTGAGATAACAAACAATTCATGTGCTCTTCTTCTTATTCCAGAGCTGGGGCATTTTTATGTGAGACTGGATTGACAATTCCATTTTGAGTGGAGTGTGGAGAAAAGAAAAAGACCAGTTTGCTGTCCTGAAAAAATCTCTCATTTTCATTTTAGAAAGGAAAGAAAATATTTCAGAGCCAGTTTCCTGGAGTTGGGTGACTATTATTTAAACTTCCTGTGCCACAGTTTCCTTATCTATAAAGTGAGAATATGTAGTTTGCAGAGCTGGAGGGAGGAGGAATTGAGATCATGCATGTGGAGAGCTGGATCCAGTACCTAATGCAACATACATGAAGTAAATGCACATTCCACAGTAAATAGGTAGGTCTTGTTGTTTGTGTTTATTGACAGCAGGCCTGGTATATTTCAGGTATTGTCCCAGTCATTGCTTGCTTAGTATACCAGTAGCTCCAGGGAATAAAATGATGTGTGTACAGCAATGCCAGGGCTAAGGAGCACAGTACATTTTAAATTTACAGTATTAGAAAATGCTGGGTTCAAATAAAGTATAAACATCTCCTAAGGATGGAAATCAAGGTCTTGTGCTTCTGTGTTCAACAACTTTGAGCTTCCAGTATACTAATGTTGTTGTTAAGTGCCATTGAGTAGGCTCTGACCCAGAGTGAACCTGTATAGAGTTTCTGAGGAGCAGTTAGTGGGTTTGAACTGATAACCTGTGGTTAGCAGTCAGAGCTGTTCTACAGTGCCACATCAGGACTCCAATGTACTAACAGGAAATATTAATCAGATCCCTGGGGACTCCTTTTGGACATCAATTAATTATGCCTTAGTCCTCTCTGTTTTCCTAACAGCCAGTAGAAAGCCTGGGACACTAGATTCCCCTTTTAAAGACAAAGAAACTGAGGTATAGAATGGCATTAAGTGACTTGAGCAGAGATACAAGCTCATCAGTGGTGGAATCAGGAGTTAATCCATTTGCTTTGAATATAAAACCTGAGGGTTTTGTTGTTGTTGTTTGCTGTGTGTGTGTGTAAGCTTGACCATGTGGTCAAAGAAAGATGGGAGGGGAGGGGTGGATTTCTAGCTGCCTCTACTATTGGCTTGTTTTTCTTCCAGCCCACTAACCTCTTTTGGGTAAATATTAGGCAGGCGCTGAAGGCCTTGAGGTCTCTGTCTAGTGCAAACAGTTGGCCTAGTTCACTAGCTGAAAGGTTGGTAGCTGGAATCCATCCAGTAACCCAGTGTTGGAAAACTCTATTGTGCGTAGTCCTATTCTGAAACATGTGAAGCTGCTCTAAGCACAAATCCATTTACACTCATGTAACTTTTTTTTCTTTTTTCCCCTCAAAGCCTTGATGCCTTTGTTTTTTTTCCCATTCTTTCTAAACTAGTGAGTTTGCAGTGTTCCTTTATATTTTGTTTTTCCAAATAACACCTAATACTGAACCTCAGATTCTTCATCTGAGAATTGGGGCTAATGGCACACTTCCTGTCTGCTTGAACAACAACCCCTCAACAATTGTTTGTTATCAAATTTACATAGGTGTACTTTTAATCAATAAGCAACCTAACAATATATAATGGAGAAAAGACTAAAGTTGTCAGGATTTCATTTTACTTGAATTCACAATCAATGCCCATGTAAGCAACAGTCCAATTCAATGAGGTACTACACTGGGCAAATATGCTACAAAAGATCTCTTTTAAGTGTTCAAATGCAAAAATGTCACTTTGAAGACGAAAATGTTCCTAAGCCAAGTCATGGCATTTTCAGTCACCTTACATGCATTAGAAAGTTCAACAATGAATAAAGAAAATTGAAGAAAAATTGATGCTGTTGAATTACAGTGTTGGTGAAGAATATTAAATAAGCCATGGACTTCCTGAAGGACAAACAAACCTGTCTTTGAAGAAGTACAGTGAAATGCTGTTTGGAAGAGAGGATAGCAAGGCTTTGTCTCATGTATTTTGGACATATTATCAGAAGAGACCACTTGCTGCAGAAGAACATTGTTTTTGTTAAAGCAGAGGGTTAGTGAAAAAGAGGAAATTTGTCAATGAGATAAATTAACACCATGACTGCAACAATGAATTTAAACGGCAGTGATTGTGAGTATGACGCAGAACTGGGTAATGTTCTGTTCTGTTGGGCACATGATCACAGAGTCAAAACTGATTCAAAGACATCTAGCAACAAGAACAACTTTCAAATAATAGTTTCCAGTCCACCCAGGATCACCACTGGTGGAGATCAGCTGACACCATGGGTTCCTATTCATCTACAAGTTTATGTGGTCAGAATTGTACTAAATGTTTAATGCACTGCCTCATTTCTCAAATTCTTAAAGCATCCCAGCTCTACCATTCTCTGTTCAGAGTTCCCAGCTGGTATGTAAATAGCCCAAGGACACTTCACTGGATTCCAAACCAAACTTGTGGTTCTTGGCTCTATAGATCTATACTCAGAGTTCACAGTGCCATCTACAATTTTCTGAAGTCAAAGCACAGAAAGGCAGTTTGTTTGCTTAGTGGTTAATAGAAAGGGATGCACACACACAATCTAATTTACACTTTTGACTCTGCTTCTATAGGGAGGAAGAAGGATTATTCATAATTGTTATTGCCAGTGGTGGGGTGGCAGTGTTACTCCAGCAGAGGGTCTTAGAAATGCCAAACCTGTCTGATCGCCAGGGCCTCACCACATCCACCACTCTGGCCCCTTAGGCAATCCAGAGCACCAGTCGCCCCTCATCCACTGCGTCAAGGTAACGCCCACCAGAGAGGCGTTCCTGTGCGCAGGTACTTTGGGGCAGGAAACACCCCTTGGAACCTCTCCACTTCTCCCTAAAGGCAGGTTAAAAACCTCAGCACCACGTGCTATTTGCAAACCTTCCTGAGACTGACACCTTAATCTGAAGACCTAGCTGTCCCAGAGCCAGTATGTCAGCTGTGGTCTTGGAGAACCGAGGCTTGGGCAGGAAACTCTCCGACTTTGGACAGGTGAGCTAGGGCCGGCTTCATCTGCACAGATAGTGGAGTTTGGCCCCTGGGGAAAGGGGTAAGACGAATGTTGATATTTCCCAGTACACAAACTGGAGCAGTGGACCGTAAGGTGGCGGCTCAAATTCACCAGCCGCTCCTCAGAAAACCCTATACAGGGTCACTTTGAGTCAGAACTGACTTCACAGCATTTAACAACAACAACAAAAACAACAAACTTGAGTCCTGGTGTGGCTCTGTAGGATAAGCACAGACTGCAAAGTAGGTTTGAAGTGTCGGCAGTTGAAATTCACTAACCTACCTTCGGAAGGTTATGCAGGGTCTCTATGAGTTGAAATTGACTCGACGGCACTTAACAATAACAGTGCATTCATAAACTCACCAAAAAGTGTGAATTCATATGAAGACGACGAAATGTCCACGAAGCCAGCGGATAAGACATGTCCCCAACAATTCTTTCCAGGTTTGTCCTGTGTGCCTTTCAGGGGAAAGGGCACAGAGGTTAGGACTCAGGGATTTGGCTTCCAGAGATGTCATGAACTAGCTATGAGTCCTTGGACAAGTCACTGCCCTTCTCTGTTTACTTTAACTGGAGGCTGTTGTTGTTGTTGTTGTTGTTAAGTGCCGTCGAGTCGGTTCCGACCCATAGCGACCCTGTACAGGGTTTCCAAGGGTGTAAATCTTTACGGGAGTAGAAAGCCTCATCTTTCTCCCGCGGAGCGGTTGGTAGTTTCGAACCGCTGACCTTAAGGTTCGCAGCCCGATTCGTAACCACTACGCTACCAGAGCTCCTTTGTTGTTAAGTGACATCATGTCGGTTCCAACTCACAGCGATCCTGTCTAGTTTTCCTGACAACAGCAAAGGGTATATGTGAGATTTAAAATGAATAATAACTGTATAGCCCTTAGCAGAGTTCCTGGAGCATAGTAAAATGTCAGTGTGTATCTAGCTAGAACTTATTTATTCATTCCATCAACAAAGAGCATCTTGAATGCTGGCAGGGAGGACAGTGCTGAGTCAGGAGCTGCAGCTGTGATAGTTCAGTCATGGGAGATTGCTTTCTGGGTATGGGATCAGGGGACCTGAGTTCTAACCGTTGGTCTACTTAAGCTATAGTGGGGAAGTCACTGAATTGGAGTGAGGAGGCTTGGGTTAGTGTCTATAAAATGGGCATGGAGTGGCATGTGTTGTAGTCCATTCTAGTCGAATATCTTTAGGATTTCTTCTAGCACTAACATTCTGAAAAATAAACAAAAACAACAACAACAACAACAATACCCACCATAGTTTATACCTTTATGAAACTCCTAATTCAGAGGAACAAACATACTGAGGATGGAATTCTGACCTAAGGCAGACCGTGAGAAGGAACCACTGTATAGTGAGGGCATATGCTCTGTCAAGAGCTCCACACATAAAACAGCCTTGTAGGAGAGGTGTGGCTCATTCATTCATCTAACAAAGATTTATTGAGCATCTACCATGTGCCAGGCACTGCCGAGAATACTATGTTCTGCTTTGGTGAAACTTACATTCTCATAGAAGAGACAGACATGAATCAAGCATTAATTGAATGAACATGTAATTTAATGTACAGATAAGTATTATGAAGAAAACTAGAGCAGAATAAGGAGACAGAAGATGAGAGGAATTCAGAAATCCCGAGTATAAATAGTACAGTCAGCATTCAAGGACAGGACTCCAACACCTGAATATGCTCCTCTGTTTCCTCCTGTGGATAAATGCTAGAATGCAGAGGGATGGTGTGCCCTTGGCAGGTTATCTTGTCTTACCCTCTCAATAGGTGTTTGTATGATTGCACATGCAAATATGCACCTTCTACCATCCCACCTTCTAAAGCACTAAGATGGAATACCCTGGATTCCAGTTGCCAAAACAAGTTGCTTTTAATTTTGAAAACTACATTTTTTCTAATGATAGCAATGTTAGATACTACCAAAGACAATAAACTTCTATTGTTAAATGTACTGCTTAATGATCAGATTTTTTTTCTCTCATAGTTTCTAGTACATTTATTTCTCCTTGTCCTATTATATATTTGTAGCAAATAAATTATAGATTATTTATAAACTATGTATGTCAATAAAGACATTTTCTGGAAAAAAATTGCCCAAGGGCCCGTAACTAGCTATATCAACATAAACCTCCTCAAGGCCATATCTTTTGACCATGGTCCATCAATTTCCTTTCATTTAAAAACCCTCAAGCTTTGAAAAAAGAGTCTCCAGGTGGTGCAAATGATGAATGCACTCAGCAGCTAACCTAAACTTTGAACCCAAATGTGCCTTGGAAGAACGGTCTAGTGATTTACTTCAAAACAATCAGCTATTGAAAACCCTGTGGAACATAGTTCTTCTCTGACACACAGGAGGTCGCCATGAGTTAGAATTGACTCCATGAATTGAGTAAAGATTTACAGAATAGATCATTAGTCCCACATTTAACAAATTATATACTTCATATTATTACAAGTAGTGTACTTCTACTGACCTCAGGTGAATCCTTTTCTTACTTTGACCCTTAGTTTCCTCAGTCAGTAAAATGAGCATATTGAATTAGGTGATTTTGAAAGACATTTAGAGCTCTGTGAGTCAATGACCAAGTCCCATGTGGGCATCAGAAGCCAAATGGAATGCATAAAGGAGGGGCTGATCACTTTGACTGAAGAGTAGGAAGATTTGCTGAGAGCACTAAGACCCACCAGAGTTTTTGAGGAAGGATGAAATATTCAAAAACAGGGATGTAGTACATTAAATGAGGAGTTAAAAAGGCAAAGAGGAAATCAGTTTGGCTGGAGGGGAGGTTCCTGTGGGAAACCCTTGAATATCGGGAAGAGATATTTTATCCTGATGGTCATGGGGAACCTTTGAAGAATTCTGAGAGTAGAAGACTGATTGATATAAGCCAAGTTCACCTAGGGCTGCTTCAATGCAGATCACCTAGAGCTGGATTTGAGTGGCAGCAGTGAAACAGAAAGGTCTGGCTCCAGGAGTTATTTCTCAAGAAGATCCATTGGACTTGACATGCACAGAGGTAGGAAGGAGGTGATAGTTAGGAGCATGCATGCATTCAAGTCTGAATTGTATGTCACAGGGAGTATCTGTTGAAGTGTATATGTTACATTTCTTGGAGGCCAACAAGAAGAGAGAATAATGCCAAATAAACTAGAAATGGAATTTCTTTGTTATTTCAAGGACAACTTTAAAAAGACTATGGCTGAGTGTTCTCTGGTCAGAAGAACAAAGTCAGAGGCTCGTCTACACCTCCCTGACTGGGTTTAGGAAAGGGAAATGGGAGGTATGCTCAAAAGCAGGTGTGATTCATATACAATATGGCAAAAACAGACTGCAAGGGGGAAATGGCATGGCTTCAGAACCTGGCTCCACTTCTAACTGTGTAACTTTGGGAAAGTTACTTAACCCTTTTAAGCCTTAATGTTGTCAATCCTGTTTCCTAGGAATATGACAAAAATTAACCGAAATAATCCAAGTCAAGTGCTTATTGTAGTGCCTGGGATATAATAAACTCTTTAACTTATTTTATTTTTTAGCTTTTTATTATGCTAAAAATATAGCATATTTTTATTATGTTTACAGAGCAGATAATCAGTCCCACTTCCAACAAAGTAAATAAATACTTTGTGTCATTACAACAATTGCAATTCACTCCATGTGTCATCAGTTAACAGTATTTACCTCTTTTCACTTAATTTTTCCCTCCCCCACACTTCCCATGCAACCATCGTATTGTTGCTGTTGTTAAGTACCATGGAGTCGGTTCTGACTCATAATGACCCTGCACAGAGTTTCCGAGACTGTAAATCTTTACAGGAGCAGAAAGCCTCATCTTTCTCCTGCAGAACGGCTGTCAGTTTTGAACTGCCGACCTAGAAGTTAGCAGTTCAATTATGTAACCACTATGCTACCAGAGCTCCTTACGACCATCATAGAATGTTTCATTTAGCAAGAATATATTTCCTTAACTTTTTACAACTGTGGTCTCATATAATATTTGTCCTTTTGTATTTGAATAATTTCACTCAGTATAATGTCCTACAGGTTCATCCATGTTGTGAGGTGTTTTATGTATTTTTCAGTGTTGCATAATATTCCATTGCGTGTATGCACCAAAGTTTGTTTAACTATTTTTCTGTTGGTGGGTATTTAGTCTGTCTCTATCGTTTTGCTATTGTGAATAGTGCTGCAGTAAACATGGGTGTGTATATATCTAATCACATCACAGCTCATATTTTTTGAGGATTGATATCAAGTGGAGGGATTACTGTGTCATGCAGCATTCCTATTTCCAACTTTTTAAGAAACCACCATACCATTTTCCTTGATGGTTACACCATTTTACAGTCCAACAAGCAGAGTAGGAGATTCCCAGTCTCTCCATACTGTTGCCTGCAGAGGTTTGTTTGTTTGAAACTTTGTTATTAACGCTGTAGTAATATGTCATCTCATTGCTGTTTTGATTTGCATCTCTTTAATGGCTAATGACCGTGAGCATTTCTCCACATGTTTGTTGGCCACTTGAATATCTTCTTTGGTAAAGTGTCTGTTCATGTCCTCTGCCCATTTTAGATTAGATCATTTGTCTTCTTGTTGAGGCATTGAAGTAGTCCATAAATTTAGGAGAGTAGTCCTTTGTCTGATATATAACAGACTCTTAATAAGTGATAGATTTTTAATTTTTTAAAATAAAAATAACATCATGACCCTAAAAAGGAATGTATAGCAGTTCATTCTTCTAATTCATCTGGGGCTCTCTATAATGTGGATTAATGTGCTGGACTGCAAAGTTGGTTTGAACCTCAAGGTTGGCAGTCCAAGTTTACCAGCTGCTCTTCAGAAACCATACCGTACCCAGGGTCATTATGGGTCAGAACTGACTCGATGGCACTTAACAACAGCAACCTAATTACAATTGGGGTCCTGGTATAGGGCTATAGGATAAGCTCTGGACTGCTAATCACAAGGTCAATGATTCAAATCCACCAACTGCTCCTTGGAAGTTCTATATAGAGTCGCTATGAGGTTGTCAAATGTTAGAACCAACTTAACAGCACTTAACAATCACCACAACAAGTCAAATTGTGAGGATGGAATATTCTCCTATTCATCTTTGTATTTTTTAGAACCCTGATACTTGGTATCAGGTTTAGAACCTGGTACTTGGTAAGAGCTGACTAAAATAGTGAATTTACAGTGTTGACTGGTGACATCAGTGAATTATTGAAGCTACCTAAAAAAAAGAGGAAGGCCCCAAATGAGAAGGATTTCTACAGTGGTAGCAGCAATGGATCAAGCATAACTATTGTGAAGATGGTGCAGAACTGGGCAGTGATTTGTTTAAAGGGTCATTGTGAGGCAGAACCAACTCGACAGCACCTAACAATAACAACAAAATTGACAGCCTGACCTTGGAGTGTCTAGGATCATTTCCATCCATGGGTCATTTATTTTAAATAAACACTGTATACTTCTGTGTAAAGTATATGCTGCACATTATAGGGTTCATGCTTGCCTCTTTCTTGCTTATCTCATTGAAAAGCATTGGCTAAGCATTAACCAAGTCCTTCTGCTCTTATAGGAAACAAGCTATATAGAAGACAATTCCACTCAAAATGATGCCATCTCACTCATCTTCTCTCTCAAAGAAGAAGTTGGTGCTCTGGCCAAAGTCCTGCGCTTATTTGAGGTAAGTGTTTTATCCATATTTTTCACTGGATGATGTGTTGTTTTGTAATTAGTTCAATGAAAAGAACATCTAGAATGGTAAGACTTGGTTTTCAGCACTTTAGCCAGTGTCATGACCTAAATTAAGTCTATCTGTCTGAGCTTCATTTTTCTCTATTTGCAAAATGGTGTTGATAATGCCTGCCTTGCCAACTTCAACAGGGTTTTTGTGATAAGAACATGAGTTTTGTAACACAACAAATGAATATACACCTGTTGCATATGATCATAGAAAAAGATCAGGTAAATAATGATTAATAAAAGCATTAATTCTTCCATCCACCAAGTTTATATTATTTTCTATATCCACCACTCATCTGTCAGTTTATTACACATTAGTAGCTTGCATGTTGCTGTGATGCTGGAAGCTATGCCATAGGTATTTTGAATGCCGAAAGGGTCACTCATGGTGAACAGGTTTCAGCTGAGCTTTCTAAGACTTGGAAGAAGGAGAGGTGACATCTTCTGAAGGTTTAACCACTGAACACGTTATGAATAGCAGTGAAGCACTGTAAGAAAACACCAGAAAATTGAGTATTGAAACACGATGAAGAGCACCAGAATATTGTCAGATATAGTGCCAGAAGATGAGCCCCTCAGGTTGCAAGTCACTCAAAATATGACTTGAGAAGATCTGCTTCCTGAAAGTAGAGTTGACCAGGAAGAAGTAAAGCTTTTGGGCCCTTGATTGGCTGATGGGACACAACTCAAAATGAGAAACAACTGCAAACATTCATTAATATTTGGAATATGGAATGAACAAAGTATGAATCTAGGAAAATTTGAAGTTGTCAAAACTGAAGTGGAACACATAAATATTGGTATCCTAGGTATTAGTGAGCTGAAATAGTGTAGAGGTTATGAATCAGGCTGCTAATCTCAAGGTCAGCAGTTCAAAACTACTAGCTATTCTGTGGGAGAAAGATGAGGCTTTCTGTTCCCATAAAGATTTACAGCCTAGGAAACCCTGTACAGGGTCGCTATGAGTCGGAACCGACTCCACAGTACTTAACAACAATAACAACAAAGTGAGCTGAAATAGTCTTTATTGACTATTTTGAATTTGACAATCGCACGGTTTGTCACTATACTGAGAATTACAAAATGAAGAGGAATGATGTCACATTAATCATCAAAAAGAAAATTTCAAGATTTATCTTTAAACCTAATGCTGTCCGTAATAAGATAATATCCATACACCTACAATGAAGACCAGTTCATACAACTATTATTTAAATTTATACAACAACCTCTAAAGCCAGTGATGATAAAAACATAGATTTCTACCAACTTCTTCAGTTTGAAATTGATCAAACATGCAATAAAGATGTACTGGTAATTACTGGTGATTGGAATGCAAAGGTTGGAAACAAAAGGAAAGAGCAGTAGTTGTAAAATATGGCCTTGGTGATAGAAACAATGCTGGAAATTGCATAATAGAATTTTGCAGGACCAATAACTTATTCACTGAAATGCCTTCTTTAAAAAACATAAAAGATGGTTATATACATGGACTTCACCGGGTGGCATACACAGAAATCAAATTGACTACATATGTGGGAAAAGACAATGGAAAAGCTCCATATCATCAGCCAAAACAAGGTCAGGCACAGACTGTGAACATACCATCGATTGCTCTTATACAGGCTGAAGAAGCTGAAGAAAATTAAAATAAGTCCATAAGTGTCAAAATATGACTTTGAACATATTATACCTGAATTGAAAGATCATCTCAAGAACAGATTTTATGCATTAGGTCCTAATGACTGAAAAGGGAAGAGTTGTGGGGTGGCATCAAGAATAACATACAGGAAGAAAGCAAAAATTCAATAAGAAAACAAGAAAGAATTATAAGACCTAAATGAATTTCAGAAGAGACTCTCCAGCATAGGGATGCTAAAGCAAATGAAATAAATGAGGAGGTAAACTAGCTGAATAGAAAATTTCCAAGGGCAGCTCCACAAGACAAGGTCAAATACAGTGAAATGTGCAAAGACCTGGAATAAAAAATCAAAAGGGAAAAACATGCTCAGAATTTCCAAGCTGAAAGAACTGAGGAAAAAATTCAAGCCTCGACTTGCAATACTAAAAAATTATTTGGACAAAATACTGAATGATGCAGAAAGCACCAAAAGAAGATGGAAAGACTACACCAAGTAACTGTACCAAAAATAAATGGTCAGTGTTCAACCATTTCAAGAGGCAGCATATGATCAAGAACCAATGGTATTGAAGGAAAAAGTCCAAGATGCATTGAAGACATTGGCAAAGAACAAAGCTCTAGGAATTGATGGAATACAAATAGAAAAATTTCAATAAACCGTGCAGCATTGAAGGTGCTCACTCATCTCTGCCAAGAAATCCAAAAGACAGATGCCTGGCCAACTGATTGAAAGGGATCCATATTTGTGCCCGTTCTAAAGAGAGGTGATCCAATGGAATGCAGAAATCATCGGACAATATCATTAATATCAAATGCAAGTAAAATTTTGCTAAAGATAAATTTTAAAATGGTTGCAACAGTACACTTACAGGGAACTTCCAGAGGTTCAAGCCAGATTCAGCAGAGAACATGAAATGAATGTTATATTTGCTGAGGTCAGATGGATCTTGACTGAAAGCAGAGAATATCAGAAAGATGCTTACCTATGCTTTATTGACTATACAAAGGCTTTTGATTATGTGGATTATAACAAGCTATGCATAACATTGTGAAGAATTGGTATTCTAGAATACTTAATAGTACTCATGAGGAATCTGTACATAGACTAAAAGGGAATCCCTTGAACAGAACAAGGGGACAGTGAATGGTTTAAAACCAGAAATGCTGTGTGCCAGGGTTGTATTCTTTTACCATGGTGCTGTGGGTTAATGCACCAGACTGCAAAGCTGTCTGAACTGCAAAGTTGGCAGTTCAAACTCACCAACTGCTCCTTGGAAACCCTATACAGGGTCTCTATGGGTTGGAATAGACAGCATTTCACAACAACAACATTCAGTCTGTATGCTGAGCAAATAATCCAAGATGTTGGATTATATGAAGAAGAATGTGGCATTAGGACTGGAGAAAGACTCATTAACAACCCGAGATATGCAAATAATATAACTCCATTTTCTGTTTTGAAAGCACAGTATACTTAAAATACTTAATGATGAATACCAAAGCCCACAGCTTTCAGTATAGGTTGCACCTCAATGAAAAAAAAAAAAAAACAAAAATCCTCACCACTGGACCAATAAGTAACATTCATATAAATGGAGAAAAGATTGATGTTGTTAATGACTTCATTTTGCATCAACACTCATGGAAGCAGCAGTCAACAAACAAGTGTATTGCGTTAGGCAAATCTGTGGCACAAAATCTCTATAAAGTGTTCAAAAGGAAAGACGTCAGTTTGAGGACTAAGGTGCACCTCACCCAAGCCATGATATTTTCAAGTCTCATATGCATGTGAAAGTTGGACAGTGAATAAGGAAGACCATAGAAAAATAGATGAATTTGGGTTATGGTATTGGAGAAGAACATTAAAGGTACCATGGACTGCCAGAAGAACAAATAAATCTGTATTGGAGGAAATACAACCAGAATGTTCCTTAGAAGCCAAGATAGCCAGACTTCATCTCTCATACTTTAAACATACTATCAGAAGAGACCAGTTCCTGGTGAGGGACATCATGCTTGATAGAGTGGAAAGTCAGTGACTAAAAGGAAGACCTCCAATGCAGTAGCAGTGACCTCAAGTGTAGCAGCAATTGTGAAGATGGTACAGGATTGGGTGGTGTTTTGTTTTGTTGTGCATTAGTGCCTCTGTGGGTAGGAATTGACAAGATAGCAACTAACAGCAACATTTTATGTATAAGGAGCCCTAGTGCCGCAAACACTTAAGCACTTGCTTACTAACCAGAGGTCAGTGGTTCAAACTCAGATATCAGCTCCACATAGGAGAAAGACCTAGCCATATATAAAAGGAAGTCCTGGAGTGGTGCTGTGGGATATGCACTGGATTGAAAGTTTGGTTTGAACTGCAAAATCCATGGTTAAAGCTCACCACCCACTCCTTAGAAATCCTATAGAGGGTCGTTATGAGTTAGAATCAACTTGCATGTGACATATATATATGTTACATGTGTGTATGTGTATGTGTGTGTGTGTTTGTATGTATGTATATATGAAGAGGCTTCAAAAGGTTTGTAGAAAAATAGAACTAAAAGATAGTGGAATTTTTCCACAAACTTTTTGAAGCCCCTGTGTGTGTGTGTGTGTGTGTGTGTAGTATCTAATTAAGAATGGAACTAAATGTAAATATGAGAAAATAAATTGTGAGTTTAGGATTGCTTTATTTTCCTTTACTGGATTTACAAAAGCAGTATTATGTTTTGAGCTAATGACTTTGACTCTGAGGTTCATTAATAAAATTAAATCTGATTACCAGTGGGAACCAAAAACATCTGCGCAACTAACAACAGATAATCAATTGGTGTGGAGAAGGGACAGAATCGTGTCTTGGTGATAAACTATTCACGAGAAAGGAAATAGTTGCAAAATGCCCCTATGGACCTGTTTCGCCTTCCTATGAGACAGCTCTTCAACATTTTCTCCTTGCAAAATTGCCCTTTGTGCCACAGTCAGAGTTAATACGTGAATGGGATGTTTTTAACCTAATAAATGAACTACAAGTAACTAAATGACCAGGACTAAATGGTGCACTCAAGAGAGGTATATGTGTGTGTATGTAGCACATAGTAAGAGCTCAATCAATAATTGTGCTCCTCATTTTCTTGTGTCCTATCTGTAGGGCATTGTGGAATATTTGTTGGTAAGTGCCATTGAGTTGGTTCCAACTGATATCAACCATGTATAGTGTTTTCAAGGAGCAGTTGGCGGGTCTGAACTGCTGACCTTGTAATTAGCAGTCTTCTGCTTATCCTACAGTGTCACACCAGGACTCTGGGACTCTTGAA